AGTAAGCAGCTTGGCCCTCTGAGTAGTCAAGTCATTGATGACCCTTTGACCTTCCTCGTATTTGTTCTTGTACTCGTTCATGTTGTCTTCCATGGTCCGGCACAACTTCTCCATGTTGGACTTGGCCTTGACGATGCTCTCCATGTTACAGGAGAGGTCGTCCAGCTCCAGCTTCAGCTCGCTCTTCTCTTTGTCCAGCTTCTGCTTCACCCGCTGCAGGTTGTCAATCTGCTCCCCGAGTTCGGCAACGCTGTCGGCGTGTTTCTTTCTCAGGGTTGCGGCGGTGGCTTCGTGGTGGAGCGTGGACTCTTCCAGTTCCCTCCGTAGCTTCTGAAATTCAGCGTCTCTTTTTTTGTTTAGCTCCACCTGAGCCGACGTTGCTCCACCTGCTTCTTCCAGTCGTTCACTGATGTCCTCCAGCTCACGCGACAGCTCCGAGCGCTGCTTCTCTACTTTCGCCCTGGCAGCACGCTCAGAATCCAGTTCCTCTTCCAATTCTTCAATCCGCGCCTGGTTTTCCTTCAGCTTCTTCTGGAGCTGAACCGAGGTTGCCTGCTCGTCCTCCAGCTGTGAGTTGACCTGTACCACGTCAAAGTCCTTCTTCTTCAGCTTCTCCTCCAGCTGTTGTTTGTCATTTTCCAGGTCCATCAAACTCTCCTGCATTAGTTTCACATCTCCTTCCAGTTTTCTCTTGGAACGCTCCAGCTCCATCCTGGCTTTTTTCTCCTGCTCGAGGGAACCTTCTAGGTCGTCCACCTGCTGCTCCAGTTTGACCTTAGCTTTATTTAAACTGTTGGCTTTGTCTTCCTCACTCTGAAGGTCGTCCAGTGTCTGCTGGTGAGCCTCCTGCAGGGCCTTCTTCTCCTTGGTCAGCTTCATGACGTTCTCGTCCTGGGAGGCCATTTCCTCTGTCAGGTTTTTCACTTTGTTTTCCGTGGCGTGTTTTTCCTTCTCAACCTTGGCTAGCGTCAGCTCCAAGTCATCGATGTCTTTCCTCAGTTCTGAACATTCGTCCTCGAGCTTTCGTTTTTTGGCAGTAAGTTCTGCGTTCAGCTCCTCCTCGTCCTCCAGCCTTTCAGACGTCTCCTTCAGCTTGGCCTCCAGCTGAATTTTACTCTTTATGAGCTGCTCGCAGCGTTCCTCAGCGTCTGTCAGGGTGTCCTGCTCTGATTGGATTTGCAGAGTGAGGTCATTCTTTTCTTGGAGGAGGCTAACAATCTTCTCCTCTAGTTCTTTCCTCCTCGCTTCAGATTTGTCCAGAGTTTCCTTCATCTTGTTGAACTCATCCTTCATGTTAGCCATCTCCTTCTCTGCCTCGGCGCTCTTCAGCAGCGGTTTGATCTTGAAGAAAAGCTTCATCCAGGGCCAGTTCTTCACAGCCAGGAAAGAGCGAAGGTTCCACTGGATGACCATGAGTGCATCTCTACGCTCCACTAACTTTGTGAACTCCGCCCTCATCAGCAGAGCCCTGGCATTGGCCTGAATCCTGGTGATGATCCGGGAGAGTTGTTCATCTCGCATCTCCTCCAGGGTTCCCAGCAAACCAGCCTTAAAGAAAACCTTCGTGTGGCCGAACTTGTACTGGGAGTGGTCGATGTCCAGCGAACCCAGCAGCTTCTCTGCGCTTTTCTTGCAGTCCATGAATTGACCTTCAGGAATGGCGGAGGCGTTGAGGATTCGGTAGCGCTGTTTGAAGTCACCATAGAGAACTCTGTTAGGAAAACCTTTTCTACAAATCCGGATTCCCTCCAGGACTCCGTTGCAGCGCAGCTGGTGCATGACGAGGCAGTTGTCCATCACTCCTGGAGTTTTCCTCTCATTGGGAATCAGACAGCGGACAAAGTGTGGATGTGTGCTCTTGAGGTTGGTCATCAACTTGTTGAGGTTTTCCCTGTGAAGTGCAGACACCGTCTGGAAGGAGGAGCCTTTCTTTTTGGCTCCTTTGCCTCCTTTCTCACCTCCGTCGCTCCCTGTGTAGGTTGAAAAGAGCAGACTGAGCAACTTCAGAGAAGACTTCTGGTAAAGTCCCACCACTGATTCATTCAGAGGGTCTTTGTTTTTAACCAACCAGCCGCCGATGTTGTAGTCCACAGTACCAGCATAGTGAAGCAGGGCAAAATGAGCCTCTGCTTTACCCTTGGCTGCCCTGGGCTTCTCAAACATCTTGTTCTTCCCCAGGTGGTTGTCGTAGAGCTTTGACTTGAAGGTTTGATCGCTGGCTTTGGGAAACATGCACTCTTCTTCCAAGATGGACAGGATTCCCAATGGCTTCTCAATGAGGTCGATACAAGCTTGGAGGTCCATCCCAAAGTCAATGAACTCCCACTCGATGCCTTCTTTCTTGTACTCCTCCTGCTCCAGCACAAACATGTGATGGTTGAAGAACTGTTGCAGTTTCTCGTTGGTGAAGTTGATGCATAGCTGCTCAAAGGTGTTGAAATCAAAGATCTCAAATCCTGCTATATCCAGCACTCCAATGAAGTACTGCCGGTGCTGTTTTGTGTCCAGGGATTGGTTTATTCTCACCACCATCCAGTTAAACATCTTCTCGTAAACTGACTTGGCCAAAGCACCGACGGAGTAATAGACTTGGTCCACGCTCTGTCCTTTGGTGACGTACTCATTTCCTACCTTGACCCGAGGGTGACACAGGCCTTTGATGAGGTCAGCAGAGTTTAGCCCCATCAGGTAGGCAGATTTATCTGCAGCCTCTGTTCCGTCGGGTTCAGCCTGCTCTTCACGCTGCTTCTGTTTGAACTTCATGTTGCCATAGTGCATGATTGCACCGGTGAGTTTGTAGACACCCATCTTCTCCTCTGCAGTGAAGCCCAGCACGTCGAAGGCGCTGTCTGTGGCCTTTAGCTCCTCAGAGTCGTCGATTGAAGCTACGGTCACTTCTCCTTGGGAGATGTAGGAGTAGTCGTACGGGTTGTTGGTGATCAGCAACATGTCTAGCAGTTCTGGCTTCTGATTGGACAGAATCTGGTAGAAGATGTGATAGTTTCTCTCAGCCTTGAGCTGAAAAGTAACACGAGATTTTTCGAGCAGATACGTCTCGACGTCAGCCGAGGACAGTTTTCCACTGGTGCCAAAGTGAATACGAATGAATTTCCCAAAACGAGACGAGTTGTCATTCCTCGAAGTTTTAGCGTTGCCGAACGCCTCGAGCGCCGGGTTGGCCTGGATGATCTGATCCTCAAGTGTTCCCTTACTGGCATCCTTCTTGCTTCCACCACTGACTGCAGCGATGCTAGCAAAGTACTGGATAACTCTCTTGGTGTTCACAGTCTTCCCTGCTCCAGATTCTCCAGTAATCAAGACGGACTGGTTCTCCCTGTCGGTCAGCATGTACTGGTAGGCGTTATCGGAGATGGAGAAAATGTGAGGTGGAGCCTCGCTTCTCTTCTTACCCCTATAAGCCGCCACCACTTCAGCGTCATAGACAGGAAGCCACTTGTAGGGGTTGACGGTAACACAGAAGAGTCCAGAGTAGGTGTAGATCATCCAGGCGGCGTAGCGTTCTTTGAGGTTGAACAGCACCGCAGGCTCATGAAGGAAGGTGAACATGGCCATGTCCTCTATTTTGTCAAACTTTGGTGGGTTCTGTGGGTGAACACCAGATTCCTTCACAGTCACAACTGCTCCATCCTCCTTCTTGACAGTTGTCATTCCTCCTTCTTTACCTAGGATTTGGCCTTTCACATACTCCACCTTCTCGTCCACCACGAAACACTCTGTCTTGATGTCAAAAGCTCTGGTCTGGGCTTCCAGCCGCTCCTTCTCAGACTTTCTCAAATACGGAGCAGCCTTTCCAAACTCAGCCATCAGGGCGTCTCCCATGGTTAAGGTTGAGGTCCTCAAAGATGAAACCAAAGAGAGTGTGTGCACCAGTCAGTCAGTCAGTCAGTCAGTCGGACATTGGACTGCTGGGTCGGGCTGCAAGGCTGGTGCTTATGAAGGGCTTTGTCACTCCAAATATGGAAATGACTACAAGGAGACAAAAATGCCTTTGTCCTGCGACACCTCAGTGCAGCAGCAGGTCAGACTCAGCACCTTTAGCTGTTAGCATCCATTTTAGGAAAAGCAGATGCTCAGGGTTGGATCAGCCTGAGATAGAGTTGTGGGAGATAAAGACCAGGAAGTGTCTGCTGACGGGAGACACAGCAGGCTTTGAAATTCCAAACAACCGAGAAGGTTTTTTTAAAATTGTATTTCTTACTTTCCAGCAGTTCCTTAGGAGTGTGGTGAGAGTCTGACCGAGGTCTGTTCTGATCCAGGTCCAGAAGTTGTTAAAACCTTGACCTCTTCTTGACCTCTTTAACTGATGTAAAATTCCACCTGGTTTTACCTGTCAGTTCATTTTTGGCTCATTGTTTTTTCGTCTTATATTTGGCTAACGTATGTCAACTCTAACTGTTGTCATCAGTTTGGTCTTCTTTTGGGATATTTTTTATTACCCTTTTATGTTATGTATTAAGGTCTTATCCACGTGTAGACAAAATTGTATTTTTTATTTAGGCTAAAACTAATGTCTAGCTAATTGTTAGCAATAAATAATTAGCTAGAACTAAATAATAATGTTACCAATTAATCTTCCCTCGTCTTCAGGACATTTTTGTAAACTTTCAGCTGTTTGTCTTTTTATTTGTTTTCAGTGACACACGGTGGCAGCTGCTGGCATGTCAGTGATGAGATGTGATTGTCTGAAGAGCTTCTGTCTCATTTATCGGTGACAGCGTGGATTCGTCTGCTCTCAGCTTCCAAAAATAAGCCTCAGTGCAGAGACCATCTGGTACACCCCCCCACACACACACACAAACACACACACACACCAAACCTCATAGAGAAAACCAGTGATTTTAGATCTCAGTGCTGCTCCATCACTGAGTTCTAATGACTTCACTGTTGGAAATCCTTTAGATCAGTGGTTCTCAAACTGTAGAGCGCTCTCTAGTGGTACGTGGGGAAAAATCACATTTTCACATTTACATTTTCAGTTAGATAAATCTGAAACACACAATTAATACAATGAAGCTACTTGTGAGATTATAAAATAGAATGTCTGGTCGTTTTATCTATTTACTTTTTTGGATTTGGATTTTTTGCTGCAATGCTGGTCTGTTGCTCACGTGAGCACAGGCAGCACGGAATCATGGGAGCACTTACAGTTGCAAGTTGAACGTGGAACGAGCCGGGGAATTCTACTGTTGGTCATCATGGTGGTACTCGGAGAGATGTTTTCACAGGTGGTACAGAGAATAAAACGTTTGACAACCACTGCTTTAGATTTATCTCAGTGACATAAGCTGCCCACAGGAGGCAGCAGAGGACCAGCAGCTGCTGCTTTGCCAACATGTGTAAAAATCACTGATCATTAATTTTTAATTCAATGCATTTTTTATTGTTAGTCGCTTCTTTCGTTAGGTCACAGCTCAAACTCTGCCTTTGTTCAGAAAATAATCATTAAGAAGCGTTGTTTAAATCACCGTATCTTATATTTAAATGTTTTATTTCAATTGATTTGTTGATGAAAGAAGCTGTTGCTTCGTGGATGGATGTTTTTTAAAGCCGCATCTGCTGATCGACACTGGCACTTCAGCCGTCACGTGACCTGCTTCCTTGCTCTCGCGGAGCTTGACTCGTATGCGAGAGCAGCTCTACAGATTCCGTACGAGACCCGAGCTTTAAGTCATCTACACCACAGAACCCGGACCAGGGCCAGAACCTGGCGTCTCCACGTTTTTGCGGTAAGAGGCTGACGAGCGACGCGAGTGCACGACTCACCAGTCAGAGGTGAGCGTGCACCCGCAATGCCGCGTAGTCCTGTCTGGTTGTTGGTGTGTTTGGGTCCGTGTGTATGACAGCGTATCTCTGGGTGTGCGAGTGTGTCCGTTTTATTTATTTATTTTACTGAATTAACGCCAGTTTTCTCTTGAGTTTGACCCAAAATCTCTGATTTTTTCTATGGACTTTGGTCTGAGCTAAAATCTCTGATTTTCTCTATGAGGTTTGGTGTTGGAGAACCAGTAAAGTCTGTGTTGTTGCCACTTCTTGTCTTGCAAAAAAACTGAGTAGGGCAGAGATGGTCTGAAGACTGGACTGGGCTGAAATCTGATTCAAGCTGTGGCCCGCAGGTCATGGACGTGTCGACTCACAGCCTCTTCCTCCTGCAGCAGCTCAATGTCCAGAGAGAATTTGGTTTTCTGTGCGACTGCACCGTTGCCATTGGAAACGTCTACTTCAAAGCTCACCGCGCCGTTCTCGCCGCCTTCTCCAACTACTTTAAGATGATCTTCATCCACCAGTCCAGGTGAGTCTGCTAGTCCAGTTATAGAAGCTAACAGAAGCTAACAACTGTTTCAGCTGAAGTTGATCTACTGCAGCACTGTTATTGGTTTAGTTTGACCCGGGCTGCTGATATCGTTGCCCTCTGCTGGTGACATCAGAAGGTCCTTTTAAACAGGACCAGGACCAGGACCAGGGTCAGTTCAGGTTCTGACTTCTGGTCTTCGTTCACAGTGAGTGTATAAAGATCCAGCCCACTGACATCCAGCCTGACGTCTTCAGTTACCTCCTCCACATCATGTACACTGGGATGTGTCCCAAACAGCCTGTGGACCAGCGCCGCCTGCAGGACGGCGTCAAGTTCCTTCACGCCTACAAACTGTGTCATCAAACAGACGAGGTCACCACTGACCTCAGCGCCGAGGGCGTTCGCATGTCCAACTTGTACGGAATTCAGATTTCTTCTCAACTGGCCCGCAAGGAGGCCTCCAGAGTTCCCAAGACCACCACCTCGTCCACCTGCGGGGGACATGCTAACCTACAGCTGTCTCCCAACGGGGGACTGGAGGGAGTCAGGTTGGAACACCAGGAGGCGCTCCCTAACGTCTGCTCTGTGGCTTCAGGCGAGGACTCCGATGTCTTGACTCGGATAAAACTGGAGCAGGTGGAGGAGGAGGAGGAGCAGGAGGAGGGGGCCAAGAACATCGAGGAGGAGAGGTCTGTGTCTCCCACTCAGGACCACAGTCCCAAGCTCCAGTTTAGAGAGCTCCCCCTGGCACTGCTTTGTCCACGCTGCGGACAGCGCTGCTCCTCACCTGATGGCCTGAGGGATCACCTGTTCGGCCACGCGTTTGACCCCGCACTTCAGATAGAGGAGTTGTCACAGAGTGGAGCCCAGGAGGGGTCGTTCAGGGGTCAGGAGCAGCTGGACGCCGGACACCTGGAGGAGGCGCTGCGGCAGAGCCGGGCGCTGGCTGACCAGCTGGCCGCTGAGTTAAGGAGGAGCCGAGGAGGTGGTGGAGGAGGCCGGGGCAGCCCTACCCCCGGTGTTCCTCACTCCCGTAAACGTAAGATCGCCTGCGCCGTCTGTAGCCTCCGATTTTCCCACAAGAGCCAGCTGCAGGAGCACATGTACACACACACGGGAAAACCACGCATACACCGCTACAATCGCTTCTGCAGCCAGCTCTTCTCTGGCCCCGCCCACCTCTGTGAAGGTGCCGTGGAGCACGGGCCGGGGCCGGGGCTGGGGCTGGGGGCCTCCATCACGTCCGCTGCAGCCGCCGTGCTCCCTGAAGGAGTCAACAGTAAGGACAACGGCAGCCCCCCCGACTCCCTGGACTCTGAGGTCTCACAGGGCAGCGTGGACGGTCTTCATGTGGAGTGATGTCCTCAGGTGGTGTGATGGGCTCTCTTTGTATTGTTAGTCATGTGACCACAGTGTGGCGCTGTGATGAAACATTTTGGATCAGGATTCAGACGTAAACTTCAAAAAGGTGAGAAACGTTTGAGCCTCAGAATCTCAAGACCTGTCCAGAAACTTGGAGACAACCGAAAAGATCCGAGACTGAGACTCAAAGACTCCGAGACTCAAAGACTCAGACGCTCAGACTCAGACGCTCAGAGACTCAGACGCTCAGAGACTCAGACGCTCAGAGACTCAGACGCTCAGAGACTCAGAGACTCAAAGACTCAGAGATTCTAAGACTGGCTCTTTGTGTTAAACTTTGACTCCTGACGTTGTTGTGCTTCAGTGTAAAATGTTTTTTTCCAATAAAACAAAAGCATTTTTTGTCGTGATGTTTTTGGAAATGTCCTCAGCCAATCAGAGGATGACAGGAAGTTACTTTGTTCACGTCCAGATTTGAAACAGATTCAAAAGAAAAAGTGTTTTTGATTTCAAATGTATTCACGTCCCTGGCAGTTTATTACACTGTAATTATGTCTTAATTACAGTTGGTTCGTTAGTGAAGTGATTTTTGTCACGTTCCTTTGAAGTGTACACATCAATGACATGTTAATTATTGGATAAATGTGTTCTTTTAAATATATTTCTATATATATGTGGTGCAGGTGTGTGGTATCAGTTGTTTCTCTTTGTTATAAGATATTTCGGTGAACGTGACCTGATGACACCATTAATGGTCCGTTTATTACATGTTAGATCAAGGGTTAGTCCTTTGATCTCTTAGTTAGAAAGTAATAACATGGTTATTACTGGTTAGTTACAGCACAATGATTAGGCAAATGATTAGTCCAAACCTCAGGGTTTCTCTTCAATCAGGTCCTTTATTCAGAAGTATGCAGATAGAGGGCACTGTCCTCGCTTGTGTCTAACTGGAGGTGAGAAGTTACAACACAGGTGTCCAGCAGGGGGCACTTTGAGAAGACCGTTTTGTTCTTCAGCTGCTGTGATGACCACGATGATGACGTTGATGCTGCAGGAAGCGCTGGGCGCTGCGAACCGTGTTCTGGACCAGAGAGGGGGAGACAGAAGGTCAGAGGTCACGCCAAAGGTCAGAGTTTGTCTAAAGGAGTTTGCAAGGCATCTGCCCCATCTCCCCCATCACTCTAACAGTAAAGTGTGTGTCTTTACCTCCATCAGCATGGCCACCGTCATTGGCCCAACGCCTCCTGGGACAGGAGTGATGAAACCTGCTCTCTGATTGGCTGAGGCGAAGTGAACATCTCCAACCACACGTTTAAGCCCCGCCTTCTTTTCATCTGTGATACATGTGAGAGGTTGAGGTTAGTTCACTGTGTGAGTGTGTGTCTCCCTCACTACCCCCCCACACCTCCACCCTCTCTCTCT